GCGTTCCCACACGATCTACTTATAAAGTCAAGGAGGGAGGGAGCCATGATCACTCATGTGAGTGGAAAACCATCTCGGTCGAGCTGGCCTGAAAACTTTTCGCGGGGCCCAGTGACGGCAGCCCGGAGGCGGAACCCTGGGAAAAATGCCTGGATTGAAGTCATCTCGTCGAAGATCTGGGCACTGGACGACAGGCACGGATCGGTGTGCGCGCGCGTGCACCACGCTGGCGTTCACGCACAGCGCAGGGTGGCGGAGAAGTCCTTGAGCATGTCGCGGGTGTCTGGGTCAACCTGCGCCGCGCTGGCAGGTGGAACACGGAGGACGAGGAGGAGGACAATGCACGTGCTGGGGCACTTGCTCCTCTGCCAGGCCGCCCTATTGGGGCCCCCCACTCGGGAATGGGTGCCTGCGCCCGCATCTGCTCGAGGCGCTTGCCCCGAATGTCCTACTTAGGGCGAGCATCAGAAAAGAAAAGAGAAGAGAAGAGAAGGGAACTGGAGGCGGAGCGGAAAGATGCGGTGTACAGTGGGGGCCTTAACAAAACTCTTTCTCCAATCCACCCAGAAGGAAGAAACATCGACGACGCCCGCCTAGAAGGAAGACCATATAGTGATCCAAAACGCCACAAGTATTAACGTTTGGCGCTCCGTGCGGATTTCGGGGACCTGCGCTGGACCCCCCTCCCTGGCGCGCGGAGCGCGCCAGGGGCGGCGCAGGAGGCGCCGCCAAGAAGGCCCCGAGCGGATCCAAGAAACCCGCGCGAGGCGCCAAACATTTACCTTCGTATGGCGTTTCTCATCTCAGAACAGAACACAGCCGTCGGACATCTGGGTGGCAACCCCCTCGATGCCTCGAGGGCGGGGTCCCTCTCCGGGGCGCCGCGCGCGCCCCCCTCCTGCTCCTCCTCCTCCTCCTCCTCCTCCTCCTCCGACTCCTCCTCCTCCTACTCCTATCCTCCTCCTCCTCCTCCTTTCCCTCCTCCTCCTCCTCCTCCTCCTCTCTCCTTCTCCTCCTCCTCCTCCTCCCCTCCTCCTCCTCCTCTCCTCCTCCTCCTCTCCTCCTCCTCCTCCTCCTCCTCCTCCTCCTCCTCCTCCTCCTCCTCCTCCTCCTCCTCCTCCTCCCAGCGCGCGCGGCGGCGAACACATGAGGACACCCTCTTTTTGGTTGCTGCCCCGCGGGCGCGCGGCGGCCGCACCGAGGGTGGACTCTTGGCGCGACGGAGACAGGGGGGTGCGAGGAAGCGAGGAAGCGAGGAGAGGGGGGGGGGGGCAGGGGAGGGGAGGGGAGGGGGGGGAGAGGGGAGATGGGGGGGAGAGGGGGGGAGAGGGTGGGAGGAGGGGGGGGGGAGAGGGGGGGGAGGAGAGGCGGGGGAGTGCCAGGGGAGAGGGGAGAGGGGGACGGGCAAGCTATGTGCGCTCGCGTCATATCTGACGTCCTACACCTCCCTCACATCCCTTACCATGGCGCTGATTTTCTCTATCCGCGGACGCGTGTCGTAGCGGACCTGTGGCTCCGCGCGCGCGTGCGTAGTGGGTGGTGGTGCGCGTGCGTGCGTGCGTGTGTGCGTGGTTTTGGTTGTGGTTGTGGTTGTGGTTGCGGTTGTTGTGGTAGTGGTGGTGGTGGTGGTGGTGGTGGTGGTGGTGGTGGTGGTGGTGGTGGTGGTGGTGGTGGTGGTGGTGGTGGTGGTGGTGGTGGTGGTGTGTTTGTGTGTGCGTGTGTGCGCGTGTGCTGTGGTGAAACGTGGTGTGGCGTCTTGGTGTTTTAGTGGTGGGCCAGATGCGTGCGTGCGTGATGGCGGTGGTTGTTGTGGCCGTGGTGGTGGTGTGTGTGTGTGTTTGTGTGTATATGTCTGTATGTATGTATGTATGCATGCATGCATGTATGTATGTAAGTGTATTCATATTGAGTAATTGCGAAGGGGGGGAGAGGGGGGGGAGAGGGGAGAGGGGAGGGGGAGGGAGAGGGGGGGAGGTGAGAGGGGGGGTGGGGCGAGGGGAGAGGGAGGAGGGAGGGGAGGGGGGGGGGGGGGGCGAGGGGAAAGGGAGGGCGAGGGGAGAGGCGAGGAAGGGAGGAGAGGGCGGGGGAGAGCGAGAGCGAGGAACCAAACCCCTCTCGCGAAAAGCGCGACGGACGGCTTTCAGCTCTTCCCGGCCTCTGGCAGCCCTCGCTGGGCTCCAGGAGCGTCAAAAAACGACTCAGGGTGAGAAACCGGTCCTGAAGAAGAGGTCGCGAATTTGGGGCGTTGACGCCAGGACCAAAATCCCAAAATCGCGACGTGGGGGATTTGGGAAGGGATGAGGAACCTTAGGAGGCAACTCCTGGGAAGTCTTCGGAAGAACGACTGGGGGGATTAAGCCAGGAGCTCTGTCTCATTGGGGGGCAATCTTGTCGAGAAAGCCCATGACCAGCCACGCCGCCCTCCCATCCACAACCCCTGCTCGCGTCACAATTCGCGCCGACGCCGTGTGGGAATCAACATCCCTGAGCGTTGCCAGACGGCGCCGGCGCGAACCGTGACGCGACCAGCCCCACCACTTCTCCCCCGCCACGGGTCACGCCAGCTATCGCCAGGACATACACAAGCGGTCCCCACAGCAACAATTATTAGAGACGACTCAGCTGGGAGTGCCCAGACGCAACGCATTATACTAAGCCTGACCCAGCGGGAAGAAGCCAGATGGAACGGAATTCTGGACAAATCTGCATTCGCACGACACTCGACAACAGGTATTCCAGCGGCGATGCTCCTCCCAGGAGTTGCATGGTTAGGAAGGGAAGGAACACGCAGAGAGGAGCGCGCCACGGGCAGCTAAGTCTACCTCATCCAGCTTCGCGCATCGCGCCCACGCGATGCGCGACGAGCGGTGAATTCTTCGCGCCCCCGCGACCGCCGCCCTGGATAATCGGCGGTAGACAAGCCTCCCTTTAGTAAACCTCCCCTTAGTGAAGACGGCCTAAGACCGAAACCCACGGACCTGGTCCCGCAAAAATGACGGCCGCGACGCCCTCTCGCGAACCGAAAACGGCGAATTCCTTGATCGACGTGTCAGGGTAGGAGGTTTATCAACCTCCGATATAAAGGGCACCCCTCCAACCCCCGTTCAACACCAAGCCGTGATGCGCGGAGCGCGGCTTCACCTCCGCGCCCCTCGCGGGAGATCCCAGCGACGACGAATTCACAGGGCACGGGTGGCCTCCGCAGTGGGCAGCGCCCGCCGTGCCGCGCGGCAGAGATCGCGCGCGCCCGCAGGCCTCCGCCGCGAGCGGCGGGCAGCACCGCAGCCCGCGCCCTCGCGGCCCGGACCCTCGGGCGCGATCCCGCGGACGCGCGGTCCGCGCAGGCGCGCGGGGCAGCCGCGCAGGCGCGGGATGCCCACCGCGCGGGGTCGCGGCCCTCGGGGCACGGCCCGCGAGGCCGTGGATCCGGGAGCTCTGCCCGCCAGCGGCCTCGTGCCCCGGGGGGCAGCGGCGGCTCGGGCCCCCCCAAAGCAAGGGCAGAGAGCGGGAGACGGGGGCGGAGGGAGCTCGAGCACCCACGGAGGAGGAGGAGGAGGAGGAGGAGGAGGAGGAGGAGGAGGAGGAGGAGGAGGAGGAGGAGGAGGAGGAGAAGGAGGAGGAGGGGGGGAGGAGGAGGAGGAGGAGGAGGAGGAGAGAGGCAGGTACAGTCGGACCTGGGCCAGAAGGACATCCCTCAAGACCACGAGACCCTCCGTCGGCCACCGCGCAGAGAGCATCCAGGGGCGCCCCTCCCCAGGGCGCACGAGAACAGCCGACAAGCACGAGGAATACCAGGGCACCCTCCCCGGACCGACCTCGATCTTATACATCGGCCGACGGCAGCGATGCCAGAGGAAGGACAAGCCTCCTCTGCAGCGCGCATGGCAAGGCTTCGTGTGGCGCACGGGCAGCCCCCGAGGCAGTCCCGGCGGGCCTTAACAGGGCCCTCCGCATAGCATAGCCCCGGGCAGTCCCAACACCTCTTAACGGGCGAAGAGCGGTATAAAATAAACTTTTTCGCAGTCGGGGGCGCCTGTCCCAGGGCGGCTGGAAAGTTTATACCCCCACGGTGCCACCGTACGGGTATAAACTTTCCAGCCGCCCTTGGACAGGAGCCCACGACAGCGGAACAAAAATGTTATACCGTTCTCCGCTCGCTGAACCTCAACCCGGAGTCCCGCAACGGTGCGGTGGCAGACCGTGCGGTGACCTCGACCTCCCCCATGACCTCACCGCAAACGCCCCGCCACCGCGCGGTCCTGGAAGCCCAGAGGCCCCCGCCGCCCGAGACGCACTCGGAGAGCGACCCGGGTCCCAGAGCCGCGCGGCGACCCGGAATCCCCACCGACTCACCGCGCGGTGTGGTCACCACCCCGTTTGGGGGCGCCGCCGGAGGCGGCGCTAAGGCGTTGGGACAGCCCCTGACTATACTCGGGGGCGGGGCCTGTGGAGGCCAGCCGGGACTGTACGGGGGGCTGCCTGTGCGCAATCCGGAACTCGTCGGCGAGCGAGGGGGGGGAAGTGGGGAGGAGGGGGCCTGCTCCGAAGGCTCGGAAGCCCCCCCCCCCCGGGCCTGCCGAGAAGCTGCTCGCAGCTCTCCCCTCCGCAGGCACGGAGCACGCCTCCGAAGGAGGCGCGAGGGCCTCTGAGAAGCCGCGCCGCCTGAGGAGGCCGCCTCCTTCTCACTCCCCCCCCCCCCGCTCGCCACCGAGAGACGTCACCAGGCGGAGGACGGCCGATATCCCCGAGGAAGGCGGGCCCGCGAGGGCGGAAGGAGAGCAACAAAAACGCCGCAGACCTCCGCCGAGACCTGTCCTGCCGAGCCGCGACCCCCCGAGGCTGCCCCGGCAGCTTCCCCGGGGGCAGGTTCCTCGTCGCGGCTCCGCTTGCCCTCGCTCGGACGTCTGTTCCCCGTGCATTGTTCGGTGTCGTGCGTGCTTGTTCCCCGGATGGTCGAGGCTGATCCTCGAAGACCCTCGCCGAGAAAAAATGAACTCGTCCGAGCGCTGCCAAGTCCAGGTCTGCTGGCCCCGGGGCCCGCCCACGGGCCCCGCGGGCCGACGCCGAGAAAAGCCGAAGCACCGCCGGGTGGAAGACGTCGGGCCCGTTGGGGCTCGGGCGGCGCCTCTACACCAGGGCTGAACCGACACGGTGTGTTTCGTCTTCGCTCTGTCTGCGTTGTCCCTCGCTTTTTTGTCTCGAGTCCGCCTTTACCGCAAAACGAAGGGGAGGAGGAGGAGGAGGAGGAGGAGGAGGAGGAGGAGGAGGAGGAGGGGGAGGAGGAGGAGGAGGAGGAGGAGGAGGAGGAGGAGGAGGGGGAGGAGGAGGAGGAGGAGGAGGAGACGAAATCACCAAGAGCACCGTTCAGGTCCAGCCCTGGCCTCCACACAGCCTGCCGGGAGAGCCCTCTCAGATCCACGCCCGCCGCAGGATCCTCTCGGGCACCCAGCGCGACGCGACCTCGTCGTGCCCGAGGGCGGAGTGCAGGGCCTCCAGCTCGAACTTGCGGCGCATGCCGCGGAGCTGGCGGGCGATGCTCCGATGGTCGTTCTGGGCACCCGGACCCCCTCGCGTCGCGAGAAAAACACGAGATGCGCGCTGCACCGCTGGGACACGTCTTCCTGTCTACTGCCTCCCCCAGACTGGTGATTGTCTTGCCCGGTTAAAACCGCTGTCCAGACCCCAGATCCCCCTCGCGTCGCGAAAAAGACACGACCGACGGTGCTCCTACAGTTTTTGTTGGGGCCTGTGGAGGCCCTCGCTGGGCCCGAGAGGGCCGTCGACGGACGACTCGGGTCAAAACAAACGCTGGGGCGCGGCCCAGACGCCTGCTGAGCATGTTTTTAGGGCGGAGGGCTGAGGGTGAAATCCACATGGGCTCTTGCACCTCGAAGACCGATCCGTCCTGTGATTCACCTTTTGCAGATTCGAGCCTCGAACATCTATCGAAACGGCATTTCAGATTTCACCCTTCGCCCTCCACCCGAAGAAAATGCTCGGGCCTGGGGGGGGCGCACGCCAAGAGAAAAGCATGACGTCGGGGGCCTGGGAACCTTCCCGGAACCCTTCGCTCCGCTCGTACGTCGATGCTGCGCCGAACGCCCGTCGACCCGAGTCGGAGTGGAAACGAGCTTGCGTCGAGCTGGCTGTCGAGAGAAGGTCGAGCTGGAGTCGGACGGGAATCGAGCCAGACTCGAACAGCTCCGCCTGGCAGTCGGCGGGGGGGGGGGCGGGGGGGGAGGAACAGGTGACGATGCCGCTGCTCGGGCAGGTGGCCTGTGCACGGCCGACGTCGGAGGCCCTGAGCTCAAGAACGTTCTCATCTCCTGGGGGGGAGCAGGGAGGAGGAGGAGGAGGAGGAGGAGGAGGAGGAGGATGAGGAGGGGGGGAGGAGGAGGAGGAGGAGGAGGAGGAGGAGGAGGAGGAGGAGGAGGAGGAGGAGGAGGAGGAGGAGGAGAGGAGGAGGAGGAGGAAGGAGGAGGAGGAGGAGGAGAGGAGGGGGAGGAGGAGAGGCCCAACGGGGGGGTGAAGAGAAGGACCCTGAAGGGTCCCACCGGGGCGCGTTTCTCCACCCCCCCTTTTGGGTCACCCCCCCTACAGGGCGGAGTTTGGACGAACAAATATAATCACCAGACAGCTCGCCCCTTGGCCCCCCGCCAGCCCCACGCAAAAGGGCGAGCATATGTACGGGCGCAGCACCGCGCTGGATGCGTAGCCGTCGGCTGGGCCAACCAAGCGAATGACGCATCGCGTGGCTGCTGGATGCCCGCGCCGAGCACAGATATTCTCGGTTCCTCCCTCCTCCTTCTCCTCCTCCTCCGCGGGCTTACAACTGCCATCGAAAGATCCTCACCCGCTGGCTTAAAACTACCACCGAAATATCCTCACCCGCGGGCTTAAAACTGCCACCGAAATATCCTCACCCGCTGGATCAAAGCAGCCACAGGAATATCCTCACCCGCTGGCTTAAAACTGTCACCGAAATATCCTCACCCCCGGAAATGGAACTACCACCGAAATATCCTCACCCGCTCGCTTAAAACTGCCACCGAAATATCCTCAACCGCCGGCTTAAAACTGCCACCGAAATATCCTCACCCACCGGCTTAAAACTGCCACCGAAATTTCCTCACCTGCTGGCTTAAAACTGCCACCGAAATATCCTCACCCGCGGAAATAAAACTGCCACCGAAATATCCTCACCCACTTTCTTAAAGCCGCCACCGAAATATCCTCACCTGCTGGGTTAAACTGCCAGCGAAATGTCCTCACCCGCTGGCTTGAAACTGCCACCGAAGTATCCTCACCCGCTGAAATAAAACTGCCACCGAAATATCCTCACCTGCTGGCTTAAAACTGCCACCGCTCGATAACACTCGATAACACATCGATAACACCTCATGCCATCGAGGTGTCATTGAGTGTTATCGAGGTGCTCTCGAGCTTTATCGGGCTCGATCACACTCAATAGCACCTCGATAACATCTCGAACACATCTCGAAAATATGTTATCGAAGTGTTATCGGGTGGTATCGAGGTGTTATCGAGCGGGTTATGGTCACCCGCTGGCTTAAAACTGCCACCGCAATATCCTCACCCGCTGGCTTAAAACTGTCACCGAAATATCCTCATCCACTGGCTCAAAACTGCCACCGAAATATCCTCACCCGCTGGCAGAAAACTGCCACCGAAATATCCTCACCCGCTGGCTTAAAACTGCCACCGAAATATCCTCACCAGCTGGCCTAAAACTGCCTCCGGATTATCCTCACCCGCGGACATAAACTGCCACCGAAATATCCTCACATGCTGGAAATAAAACTGCCACCGAAATTTCCTCACCCGCTGGCTTAAAACTGCCACCGAAATATCCTCACCCGCGGAAATAAAACTGCCACCGAAATATCCTCACCCGCTGGCTTAAAACTGCCACCGAAATATCCTCACCCGCGGAAATAAAACTGCCACCGAAATATCGTCACCCGCTGGCTTGAGACTGCTTCCGAAATATCCTCACCCGCAAGCTTAAAACTGCCACCGAAATATCCTCACCCGCTGACTTAGAACTGCCACCGAAATATCCTCACCCGCGGAAATAAAACTGCCACCGAAATATGCTCATCTGCCGGCTTAAAACTGCCGCCAAAACACCCTCACCCGCGGAAATAAATCTGCCACCGAAATTGCCCCACCCGCTGGCTTAAAACTGCCACCGAAATATCCTCACCGGCTGGCTGAAAACTGCCACCGAAATATCCTCACCCGCGGAAATAAACTGCCACCGAAATATCCTCACCCGCTGAAACACCGAAATATCCTCAACTGCTGGCTCAAAACTGCCACCGAAATATCCTCACCCGCGGAAATAAAACTGCCACCGAAATATCCTCACCCGCTGGCTTAAAACTGCCACCGACATATCCTCATACGCGGGCTTAGAACTGCCACCGAAATACCCTCACCCGCTGGCTTAAAACTGCTACCGACATATCCTCACCCGCGGAAATAAAACTGCCATCTAACGGCCTGGTGGTTCAGTTCAGTCTGTCTACCTCGCGAAAATCAAATTACGGGCTGTGCCCGTAAAACAATACGCACAACATACCCCAAAATGGTCAGCAACTGCTCAGAAAATCGTCCCCTGACTATGTTGTTGACGATGTCTGAATCTATTCCTCCTGTAGAGGCACGGGCCCGACTTCAGACCAGGACAGCGCGGCGAAGCCAGACGTGGCGGCCGGGGCCTCCTCAAGATACCCACAGAGGCGCGAAGGGGAGGCCCGCCTCAAGAGGCCCTGCCCTCCTCTCGAGAGCGCCACGCTGCTCCGGAGGTACCCGCAGAGGCGCGAAGTGGACTGCCCTGCCCTCCTCTCAGGGCAAGCGCCGCGTTGCTCCCAGCCGCGTGGGCCCCCCAGAGCTGGGACCACAACGCGTGGCTCACGCGGTCTGGACTCAGCTCTGGGGGGTTCACGGAAAGGGGCCCTGGGACACACAGACAAATACACACAAAAAAACAGGATTCCCCCTAATTTCCTATATTTTCGGGGTGTCTGTCTTCCCCCCCACTGCCCATATGTTCCCATACTCTCCTGGGAGTCGACGGTGAATTGTGTCTGTCTGTGTGTTTCCCCTCCTGATTCACGTGGGTCTAGATCAGGTGGTCCACGTGGGTCCAACTCACGGGGGCCCACGTCTGTCCAATGCACGCTTGTTCGAATCCCGTGGCCCAGGGCGATTCGGACAGGCGTCCTCGAGGAATAGCACCCCCGGCTCCCTGGAAGGGGGCCAGGCCTCGAGGACTGGCCCCTCCCCGGGAACCGCATCCTCATCCTGGGCAACATGAAGTGTGCGACTTCGCCGAGGCTCGGCCAGGGCCCCTGGAAGCCAAAAATGTTGGGACGCCTTCCAGCGAAGGAGGAGGAGGAGGGGGAAATGTCACGACGCGAGGGGGTCCGGGAAGGAAGGGCCCCGAAACACGGACACCGCCGACACGACTTCTTCACTGCGCGACCCCGCAACTATAGGATCTAGAAAATGGGGTCCGAGAAGATGGGGTCTGAGTGTCTCGCCGCATCGCCGATGCATCGGCGATGCTTCGGCCACGCACTAGCGACGTCGGCGATGCATCGGCGGCGGCGGCGTAGAGAAAATTGCGCCCCACATCGAGCCGCATCGCCGATGCATCGCCGATGCATCGGCGACGCGTCGCGATCCTCCGCCCCCATGTATTCCGACTCGGGGATGGACGGAATCCCCTTTAGTAAAACGTGGTGTAGTGGAGATGACCTCGGGCCCAAGCCTGGCGGGCGCAAGCCTGGGAGAATGACGGCCGCGGCCCTCTCTCGAGAACCGGCAGCGGACAATTCACTAATCGACGTGTCACTGTTGGGGGTTCTGTCCACCCCCGAGTATAACTGGAGTCGAACTAGAGTCGAACAGGTCCGGTACTTGGGTGGACCCCAGGACGGTCTCCAAAGCGAGCATCGAAGAAACCAGGGGGTGAAGCCTAGGGTGGGTGGGCCCCTACCCTAGGGTCTAAAAAAACAAAGGGCCCAACCTAGGGGTAGCCAGGTAGGCCTTTGATGAGCCTGGGGGAGGGGCTTTGGGGTGGATCTACACCCAAGTGACTCCTGTTGTTGGCATCTGTTCCGGGTGGATCGCCGGGACAAGTATGGGAAGCGCGAGCGCACACGCACACGCGCGCGCATGGCACGTGCACTTTTTCAACGTCGGCTTCGAGGCCGAGGCAGAAGAGCTGCACCAGCGAGCAGCGATCCGGGGCAACCGATGCGCGAATTGGCTGGCGTGCAAGAGGGGGAAAGTAGACATGCAGGGCGGCCGCGAAGGACGGGAGACGGCGAAGGGCCCTCAGACGCGAAAGAGCTCCGTGCTGGGTGCCCTTAGGGCACTCAGACGCGGAAGAGTGCCCTAAGGGCACTCAGACGCGGAAGAGCTCCGTGCTGGGTGCGCCGGCGCGGCCAGCAGCGGCACCGGGGCCGCGGCGTCGATGCACCCGTGGGCGCTGCCGAGGCACAGCGCGAGGCGGAGCAGGTCGTAGGCACTGCTGGCGTCTGGGTTGGGAACATACTTTTTTGTTGGCGGCTCCCTAGCGAAGGTCAAGAAGCGGGGCATCGAACGGGGCGCGAACCGAAGATAATTAGCCGAAGAGGCGCATGCACATGCAAGGAACAAAATGACCCAAACTAAACACCGAAGTTCGGCGCCGACATCCCGGCGGATGGGGACGCCACGGCGCAGCGAGCAGCGGCAACGGCGGTACAGCGTGGCCAGGTGTTCGAGCCAGGCATCCCAGCGGGTGGGGACAAAAGCAGCCCTCAGCACAGGAACTGTACTGGAACAGCGGGGAGAAGTCGCCCTGGACGGTGACATACGCGAGGCAGCACAAGTGCAGGCGCGCACGCGCACTTTCTGCGCCGGCGGCGAGACAGGGGGTCGCCTGCGCGCGCTAGCGGAAGGGCCCCAACGGGGGTGCCGCTCGAGCGGAGTGTGACACCATGCAGGAGGAGGAAGGGGCGCAGGACGCGGCCGCAAACTTGCCGTCGCTCGGACGTCCGTTTCCCGTGCATTTTTCGGTATCGTGCGTGTTTTTGTTTGCTCGATGGTCCAGGATGGTCCTCAAGGGTCCTCGCCGGGAAAAAATGCACACGTCCGAGCGATGCCAAGGGAAGGGGCGCAGGACGCGGCCGCAAGAGGGAGCGGAGGGAGCGAGCCGCTCCGGAGAACAGGGCCACGCCAACGAGCGCGTGGCGCGTGGGGCACGCGCGCACGCGCACGCGCACGTGCCGACGCGCACGCGCACGCGCTCGGGAATCGGGCTCGGGGGCTCTTTACCAGCCTGGAACATACCCCTGTCCCTATGCTAGGCAGCTCCTCATCACGATGCCAATCTCAGGGATTTCCTCTATTTTTTGAGGGCGCATCCCTCAGATTGTCATCGCCTTTTGGTGTGCCAGTCTCAGGGGTAGGGGTCAGTTCGAGGCTGGCAAGCTCTGGCTCGCGCCTGGTCCCGGGCTCAGGGCCGGGCTCGCACACGGGCTCGGGCGCGGGCTCGGGCACGCGCAAAAGGCCGCGCGCGCACGTACACGCGCAGCCAGACGCACGCTCTCGCGAGAGACTCCCGTTGGAGCGCGAGGCGCGACTGCACTGGGAGGGCCCCCAGCCCTGGGCCGATCCCATCCCCCCGCTCCAACCCCGCTTCTTTCTATTTTTGAGGCCCTAAAACGGGGAGAGGTTCCAGCGCCCACCTTCTTCCAGGGAAACTGGCTCCAGCAGCTCATGCCGACAAGAATGGCGGGTTCTGGCACTCACGCTCTACGAGTGGCATTGGTTCCAACAGCCCACTGCGTGGGCTCCAGCACCAAAACTTTGACGAATGCTGATCGCTCCAGCAGGATGGGCCGACAGGAAGGGTGGGCTGTCGTTTGAAACGGGAGGCGAGAGCGATCCGCGCCCCAGCCACGAACCCACCTGGAGGAGTTAGGTCGGGCACGTCCTCCTACAGGCGGATCTTGGACCAAAAAGTAACCCAAATCAAATAATATTGATAAATGCATTAGAAATATTCGACACTCGTCCCCAGACCATTTTCCGATTATTCTTGACTCTTCCTCCTGTAGAGGACATGCCCGACTTAAACCTAAGAAGTCCGCCAACGAGTTCCACTGGCCCGCCGCCCTGCAGAGAAGGCCTTCCCCCCAGAAACGACCATCTGGCGATGTCGTCGCTCTCCGCCACGTCCGCCCTCCGCAGCAGCGACGCCCGCAGGGCCCCGTCGCGCCTGGGTGGGCTTGTCTTCCACCGCCACCACCATCTATAAATTGGAGGGGGAGGAGGTCCTCCTCCTCCTCCTCCTCTTCCTCCTCCTGTTCCTCCTCCACCTCCTTCCCCCCTCAAGTTTATGGTGGTGGTGGTGGGAAACAAGCCCTTCAGCGCCCGGTGAGCGGCAGCGACGCCGCGGCCGGCAGCGCGGCGGTGTGGGCCCCGTGCAGCCCAAGCCACCTGGGCGACGCAGCGAGGCGGGTCTTACTGGGATCGGCGCGAGAGGGTTGCTGAGGAGGAGGCCTCCCCGATGGGGTCCGAGTGGATGGGTGGGGTCGGAGGATCGCGCCGCATCGCCGATGCATCGTCGAAGCTTCGGGGATGTACCGGCGACGTCGTCGATGCATCGGCACCGGTGGCATGGAGAAAATCGGGCTCCACATCGCGCCGCTGGATCCTCCGATCCTATCCGCTCGAACCTCGTCAGGGAGGCCTGGATAAGGGGATAGGGGGTAGATGTGTGGATGCCAAGGCGGGTTGTATCAGGCCTGACCAGGCTTACAAATGGGCGACATATGCCAACAAAAAGGCTTATGGGGGTGTTGCCGATCAAGGCTAAGTGGGCTCCGCCAACTTGGCGGAGATATCGAACCGCCAACGCCACCTGACGCATCCCTCCCAACTGCTACGCTAGGTTGGGCCAGACGTAAACCACCTTGGCGTCCACTGATGCCCCCCCCTATGCCCTTGGTTCCTCCCGCTTCGATCCGTGTGCGCACGATAACATGATAACCTGACTAGAGGCCTCTTAGATGGGGTCGGAGTAGATGGGGTCGGAGGATCGCGCCGCATCGCCGATACATCGCCGATGTATCGGCGATGTATCGGCGATGCATTGGCGACGCACCGTCGACGTCGGTGATGCATCGGCGACGTCGACTTGAAGCAAATCGGGCTCCATATCGATCAGCGTCAGCGATGCATGGGCGATTCGGCGCAATCCTCCGATCCCATCTACTTAGACCCTACGTAGGAGGCCTAGTATTACGCAGTGGCTGACGCTGGCGCCAGCGCGGCACGCTACATTGGAAACCATGGCACTCACGCGCGACCTTGCGCGGGCAGCGGGCGAATGTCCGCGCAGTCCACCCCATGTTCTTCTGTCGCTCACCTGAGGGGAACGTTACGGGGGGGTAGCGGCTCGGGGGGGGGGGGGGGGACATCGACCTGGACCTGGAATCGCAGATGGCAGATGCAGTCGGACTTGATTGGAGAGGACACGCGAGAGGACACAAGACCCTTCCGAGGGCCACGTTGCCACAGAAATGCAGGAGGCATGGGTCGCAAGACACAAGACACGAGGGTACCCTTGAACTGACAGGGTCGACCTACTAATCCGGGCCGCCTGTACGTTGCCGATCGATCTGCCACAAACCCCGGCTGGTTAAAGCCGCACTGACGTGGCCCGGCCCTCAGATCCGACGTCACTCGCAAACCACAGCGCGAACAATCACGACGAAGGCGCGCTGGACCCCCTCGTTCTGCGCCCCATTGTTCGAGCTGGAAGGATCTGTAAGGGCAACGGGGCCCGAAGCAAGGCAACATTGCCCGTTTTGAAAGGAGGAGGAGGAGGAGGAGGGGGGGAGGAGGAGGAGGAGGAGGAGGAGGAGGGGGAGAAGGAGGAGGAGGAAGAAAAGGAGGAGGAGGAGAAGGAGGAGGAGGAGGAGGAGGAGGGCGCGTTGGCGCTGTCGGGTCCCGAGCGGCGGTGAGACCCTGGCATTTTGCCCCGGAGAGTCACCGCAGCCCGGGGCAGCTGGCGCGGTAGAGCAGGAAGATGGCGACCTCAGACGGCCCCGCAGGGAATGGGCGCCAGGGTTGCCAAGTGGGGCAAGGGGGGCATCCAAGACGAAGCCAGGACGAGGATAGCATCGGGAGAGGATAAATCGAGAATCCCTGGGCTTAGTGGGCCCTGGAAACGACAGGGCCGTTTTTTTACCGGTTCCGTTTTGCCGTTTTTGTTGCCGGCTCCGACGCCGTTTCTGTACCGGTTCCGTCGCTGTGTTTTCACCTGTTCCGGCTCCGGTTCCAATCCTGGAGCCGTTTTTTTGCCGTTTCGCGTCGCCGTTTTTTTGCCGTTTCCCTTTTCAAGGGACTTTTTTTTGGAAACGGTGAACAAACGGCCCTGCCGTTTCTGGGGCCCACAAGGGCGCCAGGGTTGCCAGGGGGGCAAGGGGGGCATCCAAGACGAAGCCAGGGCGAGGATAGCATCGGGAGAGGACAAATCGAGAATCCCTGAGATCCAACGTCGCTGGCGGATGTCTCGGGCGCCGCGGCCTTCTCAAAGCGTTCCGGAATGCTCTGAGGGCGCTCCGGGACGCTCTGGAACGGATTCATTCTCGTCCTAGCCCCGTCCGAGTATCAATGGATGCCACTGTGGGATATATCTGGCCCAGCCCAGCTTCTAAACGAATTGCAACTCACGGACCACGGAATTTTAGAAACTCCGCCAAGTGTGCGGAACCCATTTAGCCCGGATCGGTCCCTCCTGCTAACGGCATTTGTAACCCACGTATACGCCAGGTTAGGCCACTCAGCACCCCCCGCGCAGATCCCAGTCGACCCCCTCGCGTCGTGAAAAGATCGGGGTCTCCAGGGGCCCTTAGAGGGCTGCGGGACCACAGCAAAAACACGACTCGGGACAAAATCCTCTCCCTAAGAAGGGGTCCAGACCTCTGGGGGTCCACGCGATGACAACACCCTTACATCAGTTTGCTGGGCCCGACGATGCAAGGTTTTTCCAATCCCAGGCGTTTGATGTCAGATTGGGCCTCCAGGGCTAGTTTTCGGCCCTGGGGCACTCAGAACTGGATCCAGAACGAACATCTCGAACCCATGGAAGGGGTCGGGACTTTAGGGCCGCGCATTGAGCAAATCATGTCAGCGGATGCCAGGTCCGACGATGCGTCTTTTTCAGTGCGCCACTCCGGGGGCCCGACCACTATTCCCAGACGGTGCCCGGACAAAAAGTGTGTCCACGCCGACGGCGTGAAGACAATCAGGCATGATGGCAGCTACAGTTGCAACATACATGCGGCTCGCCCCCCCTCACCCCCAGACCCAAAGCTGTACAGTCGAGGCGTTGACCTGAGGAACCCTAAATTAGGAACGAGGCCACTTTTTCCCATGAGCTCAACCTCGACTTCCTATGGAAAACCGCAGGAAAACCCGAGGCAAACCTTGAAACAATCAAGGAACACCGAGCCCCTCCCCAACGAAAAGGGCTCCTTCTTCCGGGACCCAAAGCTGCAGTGCCCATATGTTGTCCCCCGCGCGCTGCCTCGCGCCACACCCCGCCAACTGTTGGTTTGGGGGGCCGGGGCTGAGGATAATCTAGATTTCGCAATACAAGGGAAGGGGTCTGGACCCTCCAAGACAAGCCATTTCAGACCTCCCCCGTGGGAGAACCCTCCAAAACATCGTCCCCAGACCCCCCAGGCCCTCCAAGATAGCCGGGAAGAGACCCCCGCCCGAAATGAGACCCCCCTCCCTTTATTACGAAATCTGGAGTATCTGTTCGACGCAGTTCGACGTCGTATCATCTTGCCAGGTCGGGCAAAAGGGGGGGATAGCAAAGGGGGGGGATTTGAGAATCAGCTCACGTAGCTGATTTTCCTGGCGCCTGCCGGCGCGGGAGGCGGCCCTGCATCGAGGAATGGGCCTCTCGGTGAGGCCGAAACCAGCTTCATGCAGCAAATCCCCTTTCCCAATCCCCCCCTTTCGTCCGGGCCGATCTTGGCGCGATGGGTGTGGAGACGTTTCGTCCGCCCTCCGGAAGGTAGCTTCGCGCCTCGGTCCCGCACGGGGCTGAACCTGAGCGGTGTTCTTCGTTCTCGTGCTGGTTTCGCCTCCCCTCGCCTTGTCCTCCAGTCGCCCTGACCGCAGAGCGAAGCCGAAACGACAGCGGCCCAAACGAGATCGCCAGCACGCCGCTCGGGTGCAGCCCGGGTGTCCCGCTCGGCGGGCCCCGGAGGCCGAGGTCGACGGACACGCTCCGGCTCGAGAGCCGGCCCCGTCGTCCGAGGCTGCGGCCCCGTGCGGGTCGTAGTCGCCGAGGTACACCTGCAGGAGAGGAGACAGCCCGACCAGCATACACAACCATTCCTTGAGCAGGCACCGGCCGTCAGGGCATCCCTCTCAGGCCTACCACGAAAAAACTTCTTCGAGTCCCCAAGTGTTTTCATCACACCAACAAGGTTCTCAGAACATACACCCGACGTGTTAGAACAAGGCAGTCTCTCGGCCAAACATGTTCTAAGAACATTTCGTGCAGTCCACTAAAGGTTCTTAGAACATTCTTTGGTGGGCCTACAGAAAAGCCAGGACGCTTCGCCACTGCTCGAATTCGGGGGTTCGCGCGGATCTCCTGGATCTGCGCTGGACCCTTAGAATGGAGGGAAAGAACACTGAGGCCATGACCAAAACTGGACACGGACACATCGGTGTCGATGTTTGTCACCATCCACCTCGGTCACCGTCAATGTGTGGATGATCCTCGCGAATCGGCGACGGCCGGCATGGACCGTGACCAGGGTGAACGTAGACAAACACCTGTGACATCTTGGCCATGGTCATGTTGCCCTTCCCTCGACAATGCCTGAAGTCCGACGTAGCGAACAAAAAAAACAAATCGTCAAAAATCGGCCCGATCTTCATATCTGTTGCTCACCTTTTGGAGCCATATCGATCTGTGAGGGTCCTGGGGCCCGACACTGGGCGAACACGCCCGGCTCAACAACAGTGGGACGTCAGGCTGGAGGCGGCCGGAGAGGTCTGAACTGAACGCGCCCCTGGGGGAACCAAGAGGTACCGATACCGCTACTCTTAAGTCGGGCGTGTCCCCCTACAGGGGATGTGCGATGAAAAATAGAAAATACTCAAAGAATGCCAACATGGTCAAAACACTCAAAAAAATAGTCAGACTATGTTTTAACTATGTTTAACTATTCCCCCTGTAGAAGGACAGGCCCGACTTAACGCTACTCCCTGGACCTCTGCTGGGGTACGTTCCGACAAGGATTTCGAGGCGAATCCAGCGGTGGCGACGAGGGCCGCCCAGGAGTCCGAAAAAAGGGCAGGAAACGACGGAAGGGTAGAGGTATAGGTATATGTTCCTCCTCTGAGCCCCAGGACAATCTGTCACGAATGGGGGTCCCCAGACCGCATCCAGGGTCCATCTAGTTCTCAGGTCGGGCATGTCCCCGTACAGGCGGATTTATGGCGAACAAAAAATAATAATCCAAAACGCTCGACTATAAGCAAACATCTATATATATATATACACACATATCGAACAACTCTCGAAATACATGAATACTCCTCCTGTGGAGGGACACGCCTGACTTAAATCTGGTGCAATGTTTCCCCCCCCCCGGAGCCGTTCCTGGCGGTTCCGAGGGCCCGTTGGCGGCCCCTGGAGGCCAGAAGAAGCCCAGGCTCTCTCGAGCCAGAGCCTCGATTCCTCGTCCCCCTCGATCCTCCTCCTCCTCTTCCTCATCCTCTTCCTCCTCCACTTCCTCCTCCTCTTCCTCCTCCTCTTCCTCCTCCTCTTCCTCCTCCTCATCTTTCTCCTCCTCCTCCTCCTCTTCCTCATCCCTCTTCCTCCTCCCCCCCCCAGACCTGCTGGCCAGGGCCAGTGCTGGGCCACCTCAGACCACGAGCCCGCCCCGAGCGGGAAAGTACAGCAGGAGCCCACGACAGAACTCCGCCGCCGGAAGCCCCACCCTGAAGCCGCAGAGTTTTCTTTGTCCAGGGCTGGGTGTCCTGCACTTCGGCTGCAACCGAAGAAACCCAGGGTGCTCTGACCAGAGCGGATTCGTGATCGCTTGCGTAGAGCAAGACATCCAGCACCGACGCCCAAGAAGCCCATGCAGAATGTCTTCGGACTTGCTCAAGCCTTCCACGCCGGACGAACAACAGCCAGGGCCCCCCCTGACGAAACGTGGGGTGCTTCATGCCATGCGGTCCGATTGAAATATCCCTGGAGTCTAGGCCTCCCAGATGGGGTCCGAGCACATGGAGTCGGAGGATCGCGCCACATCGCCGATGTATCGGGGGTGCTGCTCGACGTGGGCCCCGATGTTCTCCATGCCGTCGTCGCGCATGCGGCGCCGACGTCACCGACGCATCGCCGATGCATCGACGAGGAATCGACGATGGATCAACGAAGCAGCGCGATCCTGACCCAATCTACTCTGACCCAAGTTAGTTCCTATCCGAACCTGGGGCAGCCACGGCGCCGTCCGCTGCAGCCGCTGCAGCAACCGCCGGGTCAGGACGTCCGGGTACCCGCGGCCGGTCACGAGCACCAGGGGCAGGACGGACAGCAGGCGGCCCCGCAGCAGGTACTGGAAGAAGGTGTCCTTCTCCTGGGAAGCGGACGTTTCTGCAGCTCCGCCTGCCTCCTCCCGCCCCACGCCTCCTCTGATGGATGCCCTCCTTCCCTGGGGAGGAGCGGGGGAGGAACGAGGGGGGATATGCATCGCTGCCCTCCTCCGATCCCCTCCAATATAGCATCTCGTAAAAGCCCCCCTATCTCTAAGTTCGACGAACAATAAAAAATACCCCAAACAGACCCCAAAAAAGTAAAGAAATACTAGAAAAATAGTCCCCAGACTATGTTTGGAGCATTTTTTATTATTTCTGAGTTTTCTTTTTCGTCGAACATCCCCCTGTAGGGGGACACGCCCGACTTAACCCAATCTTGCTGGCTCTTGCGGGCCCATTCTGCCGGTCGACGCTCCTCGACGCTAGGCCGAAGGCTGCGTCGGCGCTTCCCCATGGACTGCCAGACGGGCGGGGCCGTCCAAGAGGCAGCGGCCCCGGGGAGGGGCTCGGGACCTCTGGGGCATCACGTCGGCGGCGGCCTGCTTTGAGGGGGCCCCCAAGCGGTGCGGTGACCACACCGTGCGGTGAGTCGGTGGGGCTTCGGGGTCACCGCACGGTCTTGGGACGCGGGCCGTTCTCCAGGGACGTCTCGGGCGACAGAGGCCTCCGAGGCCCCACGACCGGGATTTCGGGGTCACCGCACGGTCTGCCGCCGCACCGCTGCGGGACTCCCAAGTCCTGCTTTGAGGGGGCCGCCGCTCCCAGAGAGCACGGAGAGGCAGCTCGCTGTGGCCGGCCGCCGGGGGGTCCTGCTGCACGACCCCCCCTCGGGGGCCGTGCGAGCACGAGTCGGGAGCAGAGGCTGGTGCCCAGGAAGGGGTCTAGAGACCTCTCGGGGCCCACGCTTTGTGAGGAGCAATGCAAGGACCCCCAATCCTCTGGGAGGCGACCTGAGTCAGGAGGCCAAAAACATTAGGGAATGTGTTTTTTTGTTTTGCAGATGCATCCAGCCAAACCGCCCAGACAAATTATCCCGAATGCAAAGTCGGGGACCTCAGTGAAGGCACGTCTTCACTATGTTCTCAGGGTTAGGGGTTCTTTTTGTACTCGATGATTTTGAGAATATCAGAAACGTCGGGGGTCTGGAACCACCCCCCCCCGCGCGAGGAGCCATGTGGGAGTCCTGCTGGTGCTGTGGGCCCCCCGGCCCCGTGCGAGACATCCCCTGCGCCTGGCTCGGGGAGGCATCGTGGACCTCCTCGCTGGGAGGTGGCGGCCCTGGTGGTGGTGGTCTCGCGTCGCCAGGCCCCTGACGTCCTGACCTCCTCACAGCGTGAACGCCTGGAGGCCTGGACCCACCCCCCGCGGCCCAGCTTTCCATGCCGCGGGGCCCCGAGGGGCCCCCCGACGACAGAGCATAGCGCAGCACGCCCCTCCCAACCTGTCCCCTTCACGCAGAGGGGGGCGTCTGCTGGGATCGGCACGGGGGGAGCTATCGGTGGATAGGAGCGTTTTCCAGTGGATGCCATTGCGGGTTATGTCTGGCCTAGCCACCTTCATAAACGGACTACAACTACTTACCAACCTGGAACATATCCCTATCCCTATGCTGGGCACCTCCTCATCACGATGCCAATCTTAGGAATCCCCTTGATTTTTAGGGCGGATCCCTAAGATTGTCATCGCCTTTTGGCGTGTCAATCTTAGGGATAGGGATACGTTCGAGGCTGGAAACACTGCCCCTGGTGGGGTTGGACAACTCCGCTAAGCGGGGGCGGTCCACTCGTAAGTCAGATATAATCCCCCTTGGCATCCACTGATCACTTAAACTGTGCATCTTCGGGGGACCTTGTCTGTCCTGTCGCGCCGCGATCCACGTCGAATCCGTGTTGGATCCGTCCGAACTCCGCGTCGAACGCACGTCGGAGTACAAAAAAAAACTGTCATTTAGAGGACAAGCAAGATCCTTCCGAGATGCAGAGTAAGATAACCCTATCCTCTCCGCAACCAGAGCAGAACCAATATCTGTAAAATTCAGGGCCGTGCCTCTGGTCTCCAGTGGCCTTCTCCGGACTATCTGCAAGCCCCCAGAACTCTATAGGGGATCCACTACAGAATAGATTAACCCCAGAATTCACTTTCCCGCCGAATCTACGGGACATGCGACCAATGCCCCGTAGATCCACGAACCTTCTACGCGTTTCTCGAGTATTCGGCGGGCAGATCAAGTTTGGAGTCCATCAATTCTGTAGTGGACCCCCTATCCGAAGAACGCTCTCGGCCAGGCGCAGCTGCTGGAGAGCACCCCGAGAGGCTGGGAAGCCGCCGAGATCCGACGAGAACTCCTGAAAACCTCTCATCTTGAGCCGCGAACTTTGTGGGCCCCGGAAACGGCAGGGCCATTTTTTCACTGTTTCCCATAAAATGTACCTTGAAAATGGAAACGGCAAAAAAAACGGCGACCGGGAACGGCAAACAAATAGCTCCAGGATTGGAACCGGAGCTGGAACTGGTCAAACATCGGCGGCTGAACGGGTAAACAAGCGGCGTCGGAACCGGCAAGAAACGGCAAAACGGAACCGGTAACAAAAACGGCCCTGTCGTTTCCAGGGCCCACTAAGCTCCTGAAAACCTCATCTCGAGCCGCGAACCTCGACCGAGCCAGCCCCAGCGGGTTTCTCCCCCCCGCTCTCGAGGAGGAGGAGGAGGAGGGGGAGGAGGAGGAGGAGGAGGAGGAGGAGGAGGAGGGGGAGGAGGAGGAGGAGGAGGAGTCCACGACCAGCACGCAGCGCGCCGACCCGACCTCCATGTGCTGCTCCTCGTCGAACAGCGCCTCGCCGATCGGCAGGCCGCTGGTGCTGCACGCCGCGCCGCACGCCGCGGCGGCCGCGCCGCACTCCGCGGCGCCCCCCGCGCGCCGGAAGGCCACCGCTCCCGCGACGATCGGGCCGGGCGAAAGGGGGGGATATAAAACGACGCGAAGATCGGGACAAAATCGGATCGGGATAACTCGAAATCTTTGAGAATCGGCGGGTTTGGAGGATGTATTGGGCGCCGCGGCCGCCCCAGAGCGTTCCGGAACGCTCTGAGAACGCTCCGGAACGCTCTGGAGCGATTTATCCCGATCCTAGCCCTGTTTTAGGATAGCAAAGGGGGGAGGGGGGGGGGTGGGGGAAAATCAGCTTGCGCAGCTGATTTTCCCGGCGCCTCCCGGCGCCGGAAAAGACGGCTGTGCGTCGAGAAATTGGGCCCCTCGGGGGGGCCGGGACCAGCTGCACGCAGCAGATGTCGTGACCCCCCCCTTTCCCAATCCCCGGCCTCCTCCGCCTCCTCCTCCTCCTCCTCCTCCTCCTCCTCCTCCTCCTCCTCCTCCTCCTCCTCCTCCTCCTCCTCCTCCCCCTCCCCCTCCTCCTCCTCCCCATCCCCCCTGTCCCCCTTCCGCCCGGCCCGAAACGAGGCCGCGCTCCGCCGTGAGGACGCCGAGGTGAGGGCGGCCGATGCCGAGGGCGCCCACCGCGTCGCGTATGCGGTGCGATGCCCGCTCGGGGGAGGCCTTCCTCTGGGATATCGGCGCGGGGGGGGGGCCCGTTCGGGGAGGCCTTCCTCTCGGAATCCAAAATAGTCCGGGGACTGTTCTGGGGGTCTTTTTGGGGTCTTCTTCATTTTTCGTCGAAAGTCCCCCTGTAGGGGGACACGCCCGACATAACCGAACGGACGCTGGAGGCCTGCGGCACGACCTCATGAGTCCACAAGGGGCGCCCCGGCTCGGGGGCGGACGCGTCGACCTGGGCCTGGCCATCGCTCGGGCGTCCATTCCGTGTGCTTTCTTCGGTTTCGTGCGTGGTTTTTGTCGCCGAATGATCAGGGATGCTCCTCGCCGGAGGAGAAATGCACACGTCCGAGCGATGCCGAGTGGCTGCAGTCGGGCCCAGGCCAGAAGAACATCCCTCAAGAGCGTGAGACCCGCGCCGGCCAAGACACGCAGAACATCCAAGGGTACCCTTCCCCAGCTGCACAAGAACCTCAATAAAGCACGAAGAACATCAGGGTACACTCCCCGAACCGACCTCGATCTTAGACCTCGCTCCGACCGTAGGCGGGTTATCGAGAGTTTTCGTCGGCGGTTCTCCAGCCTCGGGATGCTCTCCAGCAGCTGCGCCTGGCCGCTGGTATTCCCGGGGTGCTCCCCGAGGGCCATGTCTGGCCTGACCTGGCCGGCCACAAGTGGGTCAGGGAGGATAAGATCTGGGCTAAGGCACTCCCTCCACTCATGCGTCGATGATGCTTCGAACTTCCATCGGCTTGAATCGCACCTGAGCCGAATGCGAAGAGCAGAGGATACCAACAGATCCGTGAGGCGGGCCTCGGGATGGCCCCCCAAGCGAGCATCTACGCAGAGGAACAACATGTGAATGAACATACACACTTCCGGAGATCCTCGATGATGTTTGGGATCGGAACCCTGTTGATGTTTGTGATGGAGGCCCAGCGCAGATCCAAGAACCCCGCGCGGAACTGAGAAAATTCATGCGCGTGCAAGTTGTTATTCCTCTGGTATGGCGTCGTTCATGACCTTCTGGCCCGGGAAGAGCGTCCCGTCGCCATCGGCCGTGGCGCGGTAGAAGAGCTCCTAGGGACACCAAACGGTACCAATACCGCTGCTCCTCGCACCAAAGATACCAATGCGCACTGACCAGAATTTCAAGGAGAATCCAGCCGTAGCGACGAGAACCTCAAAGGAGTCCCCCCGAACGGCCAAACCGAGGCATTGGTAGCTGCATCCCCTGACATCCGCCGATGCGTTTTTGTTCAATCCGCGGCCCTGGAATCCCGACCGCTTCTCTGGGGGTAGTTTCGCGTACCAACACATGTCCATAGTCCCGGAGGCCCAAGCAGCCGAAGACGGGGCAAGCACAGTAGTATAGGGACCTTCTCATCATCTGCTGGGATCGGCGCGGGGGGTGCTATGGGGATAGGAGTATGATCAGTGGATACCAAGGAGGGTCATGTCTGCCCTAGCTTAGCTTGCGAGTGGGTTGTACACAACTCAAACGGCTTATGGCGGGCTCGATAACTCTGCTAAGTTGGCGGAACCCCCATTATCCCCGACCCTTAAGCCCCCCAAACCATGTGGGACAGTCGTGACCCACTTTCAAGCCAGGTTGGGCCACACATCACATACCTGGGCATCCAATGATAACCCCCCTGTCCCCTTAGCAACCCCTGGGCCGATCCCAGTGGGTTTCCCCGGGCGGGTGGTAATGGGGGATGACCTGCATGATGGGGGGTGACGAAATGGGTTAGGTCGGGCATGTCCCCCCACAGACGGAATTGAGCGAATAAATCTCAAACATTTCTCAACAAATCGTCCCCGTATTATTGTTTTAACTATTGTTGCATATTCTTCCTGTAGAGGGACAGGCCCGACTTCAGAAGAGGGCCCTCAAAAGGCCCTTCGGTGCCCCTGCTGGCTCCATCAGCGGCCCCACAGGACCCCTTGAGGCCCCCTTTCTTCGACCCTCAATCAGGTCACCCAACATTGCCACCCGACCGAGTTTCCAGTCGGGGATCTTCTGACCCAGGTCAACCCAGACCCAAGTCAGTCGGGCTCTGCAGGATCCTGCAGGGTCCTGCAGCCAAGCCCAGGGTCGGTGCGCCCCTTGGCCCTGCAGGGTCCTGCCAAGTCCGGCGCTCTGGCTGACCCCCGTCTGCATCGACCACCTTCGCTTGAGGTCCAGCGCTCTGGCTGACTCCCGTTTGCATTGACCCCCGTCGCTTGAGACCCCATCCAGGCCGTACCTCTGGGCTCCGGTGTAGGCGAGCGCGTTCCGCTATTGGCAGAGTGACTACTCGCAAATGGCCTGGATCCCCCGCGGGGGATCTACGATAAATGACATCAAAGCCGACATGTTTTTTTTCTGACTTTTGGGAGTAGGTGGGTACTTTGCGAGTAGTGGAACGCGCTCGGCGACGGTGGCCGTGCTGGCCCACCTGGGCACGCCCTGCCCGCGGCCGGGCGCAGCTGCCGGAGAGCGCGGCGAGGCCGGAAAAAACCGCCGAAGGCCGGCGAAGACTCCCGAGAAGCTCAAGCCTCGACCGCGGCGGCGGCGGTGCCGAGGAGGAGGAGGAGGAGGAGGAGGAGGAGGAGGAGGAGGAAGAGAAGGAGACGGAGGAGGAGGAGGAGGAGGAGGAGGAGAACGAGGAGGGAGAGGAGGAGGAGGAGGAGGAGGAGGAGGAGGAGGAGGAGGAGGAGGAGGAGGAGGAGGAGGAGGAGGAGGAGGAGGAGGAGGGAGGAGGACGAGGAGGAGGAGGAGGAAGAGGACGATGACGAGGAGGGGCAACAGTAGGAGGAGAAGGAGGAGGAGGAAGAGGACGATGACGAGGAGGGGGAACAGTAGGAGAAGGAGGAGGAGGAGGAGGAGGAGGAGGAACGGGGAGAGGAGGAGGAGGAGGATGAGGAGGAGGAGGAGGACCAGTGCAAACACAAGAGTCATCAACGGTGTTGGAATACACCCTCCCTCCAAACTCCCTCTTCATAGGTCCCTATAAGGATGCATTTCCATTGCGGGAACTGCCTCTTTGGAAACAACTCATTGAAGACCCTGAAGCCTTCCAAAACGTTGTTCTCGGGATTTCAACGCCACGGATCAACCCGACTGCTGTGTCTTGACGATCCTGAATCGTGCCAGAACGCCATTCTTGGGACTGCAACACCGCGACTTCACGTAGATGTTGCACCCAAATTGCTCAGAATTCATCCAAAATAAAGCTTCTGGTACTTTGATCATGGGAATCCGTGAGAATCTTGCAAATATGCTTAAAGAATGCGCGCGGCGCTAAAAGCGGGAACCACATGTTCAAAAGGAGCCGCCATCAATGCGTGAAATTCTTACAAATTCTGGGGGGGGAGCAAAAAAACGACTGCGCGCGGCGCTGAGGCGGCCAACACAATTTGAAAACGCGAATGCGCGCGACACTAAGGCGAGAACAACATTTTGAAAACGGGTTGCCCTCGATCCGTCATTTTTTGTAAAAGGGCGGGCACCGCGGAATGGTGGGAACCGCGCAGATATACACTAAGGTATCTGTGCCCTGCTCCATGAGGCTCCGCAGAATCGTCACAGAACGTAGTGTAACTGTATAATTGTCTGGCCAATTCACTTGGCAGAAACAAACATGTACACATTGTGTTCGGGTCGTACTCTGCCACCAAGAAATGAACAAACATAACGTGGTACAATGGACATGTTCCCAGACATCCGGCTGCTCCAATGCTTTCGATGCGTGGGCCCCAGGGGTCTGGACCGCTTCCCTAGGACTAGTCTTTCATCCTGAACCGTTCCTTGACTGTCCCGGGGCACGGCGAGGGCCCCCTTGGAGGCCGAACACGGCCAGCAACCCGCCGCTCCGACCTTTTTGGAGCGGCGGATCTCTGGGCCCTCGGTCCCGAAGCGGTGCCTCTTCCCCCTGGGAGCTCCCGCTGCGTGGCGGCGCGGCCCGCCAGGCTGAGGCGGTGCACCGCGTCGAGCGCCGCGAGGAGCCTGGCCAGGCGGCGGCTGCTCTGGGGCGACACCTCCGGGAGCATGGGGCTCGGTGGATCACGGAAGGCAGGAGCGGCTGGCTTGCAACCTCCCTCCTCCCTCCTCCCTCCTCCCTCCTCCCTCCTCTGCGGCGTCACCTCTGGGGCTGTTCTGGGGAGATCGAGTCGACAGCTCGGCTCGGAGATCGGAATGTTAGGTCCGCGTTGTTCGGTGGCGATCCATGGGAGCCTCCCAGACCACCTTGTAGGCTCGTGCGAATCGACGCTAACTCGACGCTAAATCGCCGCTAATCGACGCTAGTCGACGCTAGCCGACGCTACCTCATCGACTCCCAGACGCTAATCGACGCTAGTCGGCGCTAAGCGTCGCTGAAGACGGAACTACGAGGGTATTCAAGGCGCCCATGATTTGCTACCGAAGGAATGACTTGAATCGACGAACATCGGCAGCCAAGTCGGAAGAAGTCGAATCGGCGGAAATTGGAACGCCAGTAAGGCCCCCATTGAGAAACCAGAATCCCCATCGGAATCCAAAATCGAATCGAATCGGGATCGGAATCGATGGACATCGAGCCGAATCCAGTTGTCGAAGCTTTGAAATGAGCCCTGCACCTCCAGCGTCAGCTTGCGGTCGACCCGCGCCGCAAAGCCGCCGCTCTCCACGATGCGGGCCTGGGTCGGATCGGCCAGCTCGACGCACACCTGGAGCTGTCCCGAATGGCCCTCAGAGCCTGGCGTCGCAACTTTTTGGCACTACGAGGAATTGTCACCTTGTCTCGGGCCCGAGGATCCTCCGGGACCGGTGCGGATCGGAGACTGCCGCAGCAAGATAATTAGGGTGCAAGGCTCTGGACCTCTCTTGCACGGCGTTGCCCTTTTCCCGTGAGCCGGATCTCAGTGGGGGGCCAAAGCAAGAAGAGACGTATGATCTCCCCGCATCGCCGATGCACGGCCGGGTCTCCGGCGGAAGGTCGAGCCCGGGACGTGTCCCAGGGCACTCTCTGACTAGACCTTCCAACCGTGGCCACTGGAGGCAAACGGCATCCTGAAATCTGGATCCTCGATCGAACTTCGAACCTCCATGCCACTCGATAGAGCGAATTCCGTTGATCGGCCCCAGGACTGGTCCCAGGAGTGGGACCCCTCCTGGACGCTGTCCTGGCCAGTTCTGGCCGCCCCGATGGAGTTCTGACGGTCCTGGAGCCCGTGGTGGGCTCCTGGGCCCAGACCCCCGACGCCATGATTTGTGCATTAAGTGGGCCCCCTCCTCCTCCTCCTCCTCCTCCTCCTCCTCCTCCTCTTCTTCATCCTCAATATCTTGTTTGACGGGCCTGAGGCCCAGGACAGGCCCCGAGAAGCCAGAACTGGCGCACGACACCTCCAGCCGTGTATTTCTTCACTTCGCAGACGATGGCGGGAAGCAAGGCACCCCCAGGACCCAGGTCACCGCCGACATGATCTGCTCAATGCGCGGCCCAAGGGGTCCCGACCCCTTCTCGGCGGTGAGCATAAACCTCCCTTTCGCAAACCACCCTTTGTAGAGAAAACGGCCTGGGACCGAAACCGACGGACCCGGACCCGCAACAAGGACGGCCGCGACGCCCTCTCGCGAACCGAACACGGCCAATTCACTCATCGACGCGTCGGGGCAGGAGGTCGATCCAACCACCGGGAAGGGCAACTTACCGCCGACAGGAGTTGCTCCACTCCGGAGCGGCCAAGAGGGGGGCGTCCAGGAGGGGGGGGGTGCAAATCATGGCCGGCGGCATGTGCGCGGCCCAGGGGGGGGGCCAGGGACGTCATAAAACAAGAAGAGGCGACATGAAATCTGGGGAAATATCATGGCCCACGCCATGATATCCACCCCCCCTAGTCATCACCCCCCTCTTTGCAGCCCCGGATCCATTTGGACGCCCGACATGGGTACGGAAAGAGTGGGTACAATGCTCAACAGCAGTTCCTGTTCATCTTGAACAGGACTCGCTGTCCACGCCGCCGCGGCCTGTGTCCATTGGAGACAGAGGGCCGCCTGCCCAACAGCGGCCCCTGTTGGTTTGGGACAACATCTGTTGTTGGGCATTGTGCCCATTCTTTCCGTGCCCATTTCGGGCGTCCAAAATCCATGCGCGGCCCAGGGGCCTCCGACCCCCTCCCCGGGGCCAGCCTTTGCAGGCCCCCGGGAAGCGCTGTGCTGATGGCCCCCACATGGGGCCCGGCGGGGGGCTCCGCGGGCCGAGATCGAGGAGAGAACACCGCCCGAGGTCACAGCGTCGCCGGCTGAGGTCGGGCCTGCCCCCCTGCCAGGGTTTTACGCATCGTCACAGCAAAAATCCCCCGACGATCCAAAAGCACGAAAAGAGCGTCTCCGGAATATTTGTCGACTGTGTTTGGACACTCCTCCTGTAGAGGGACGGGCCCGACTTGATCGTAGGTCTGGGCTCCTCTGCGTACAGGCCCCAAAGAACCATCCAGGCGCGACTGCTTTGAGGGGGCAGCAAACGACCACAGCCACACATCGATGACAAACCGGGGGGGGGGTCTTGCGCATGCCAAGACTTGTCGGAACAACCAAACCAGCCTCATACTGGCTGTGGTCGATGCGGCGTCCCAAGACGGCCAAGTCGACCACGACCCCAAAGTGTTTTACTCCCGACCCGGGGGCGCACCGTGACGCCACCAGCGCCGGGCGCCGCCTCTTCGCAGATAGGGCTCCTTTCAAAACCCCCACGCCGCGCCGCACCAGGGCCGCCCCTGGCCCTTGGCACGCGGCGCAGGTGCCCACATCTCCGACGGCGTGTGCCCGAGCAATGCTTTGCCAAAGGGTATTTGGGGAACCGAACTCTATACACCGCCGCTCGTTTTCAAGCCCCGCACTGAAATCTGAACAGGGAAGGGGATCCTGGTGTATACGGGACCCTGGCGTATATATATATATATATATATACTAGAACCACGCGCGCGCTTCGCGCGCGCTTAGGTTCTAGCTAGGATCGTCACCGTCGTCATCATGAACATCACCATCGCCATCATTCCCCCCGCCAGGGCTAATGTACATCGTTTCTGGATGCTTCTGGCCGGAATACGAAGGGAGTTTCTGTAGTCAGAGTCTCCGGCGGAAGTCGCGGGGCCCCTCAGGATACTTACGGATGCCTCTGATAGTACTTAAGAAATGATGGACCCGTCATTTTGTACTTGTGCCTTGATCAGTGGGACGGGCTTCGCACCGCCGCACATCACAAGACACGCTCGAGCGGATCCAGCCGTGGCGACGTCGGGGACTGCAGAAGGTCGCAAGGACACGGAATCTGAAAGGAAGAGAGAGAGAGAGAGAGAAAGAAAGAGAGAGAAAGAGAGGGAGAGAGAGAGACAGACAGACAGAGAGCGAAGGAGAGAGAGAGAGAGAGAGATGGAGTAAGAGAGAGAGAGAGAGAGAAAAACAAAAAACAGAGCGATAGAGAGAGAGAGAGAGGCAGAGAGAGGAAATGGAGAGGAGGCGAGCTTGAGTCAACGAAAGTCGCAGGGAAGGGGGCAAGGGGAAGAAGGCCAGAGAGCGCTGAAGGATACAAATACTGGAACCCTCTTGGGATTTTTTTTGGGGCCTCGTCCGGCCGCTCGCTGGGAGTTTGACGTAGCTTCTCGGGAGCCTCTGAACCTGTCGGGGGCCTCCTGGAAGCAGGTTCGAAGCATTTTGGAGCCGATTTGGAGCTTCTCGGGGCCTCCTTTGGGCCTCTTGGGGGTCTCCTGGGGCCTCTTGAGGGGCCTCCTCGGGGCCTCCTGGCGGCCTCTTGGGGTGGAAGGCTCGAGCTTGCGGTTCGTGGTCCCCCTCCTGGGCCCCCTCTTGGGCCCGTCTTGGGGCCCTCTTGGGCCATCTTGGGCGCCTCTTGGGCCGTCTTGGGGCCCTCTTGGGCTGTCCTGGGGCCCTCTTGGAAGCTTCTTGGGCCGTCTTGGGGCGGTCTTGGGCGCCTCTTGGGCCGTCCTGTAACGTCGGAAAGCCCAAAAGGCGACTTTGTGAAAAATGTACGTTTTACGAAGGGAATGGGTCAATTTTTGCGTCTAGGGGCCCTCTTGGGACGCATGTTGGAGGCTTCTTGGGGCCTCTTGGGGGCGTCCTTGGACGTCTGGGGTCTCCTGGGGCCTCTTGAGGGGCCTCCTGGGGGCCTCCTGGCGGCCTCTTGGGGCGGAAGGCTCGAGCTTGCGGTTCGTGGTCCCCCTCTGGGCCCCCTCTTGGGCCCGTCTTGGGGCCCTCTTGGGCCATCTTGGGCGCCTCTTGGGCCGTCTTGGGGCCCTCTTGGGCTGTCCTGGGGCCCTCTTGGAAGCTTCTTGGGCCGTCTTGGGGCGGTCTTGGGCGCCTCTTGGGCCGTCCTGTAACGTCGGAAAGCCCAAAAGACAACTTTGTTGAAAATGTACGTTTTACGAAGGGAATGGGCCAATTTTTGCGTCTAGGGGCCCTCTTGGGACGCATGTTGGAGGCTTCTTGGGGCCTCTTGGGGGCGTCCTTGGACGTCTGGAGGCCATCTTCAGCATCTCGGAGCCCTCTTGGAGGCCTCTTGGAAGTTTCTTGGGCCGTCTTGGGCGCTCCTGGGGCCGTCTTGTCTGACCGGGGAGGCCTCCAGCAAGCCCCGACGAGCCTCCGGGCCCCCTGGAGCCCACATTTGTGGTCGGGGTCCCGGCCCCGGGCCCCCGGACCCGGTGCGCCGTTATATGTATATATATATATATATATATATATATATATATCTAGTCACGTTATGTTGTTTCCTCGTCGGAACCACCCCGACGTCGTCCCCGACCCTCGAAAAGTCTTTAGATGGAAAAGCAACCCGCCACTGGTAATGTATATATTTTCTCCAGCGTCCGAGTTTTCTCACAGTGGCAAGAATTCCACAGCAGATCCCCACGAGCAGGGGAAGAGAAACGGCATGAACAGAAAACTTTTGGTGGCGCTCCGCGCGGATTTCTTGGATCTGCGCTGGCCCCCTCCCTGGCGGCCCTGGCGCGCGGAGAGCACCGGGGGCGGCGCCGGAGACGCCGCCGAGGGGCCCAGCTCGGATCCAAGCAACCCGCGCGGAGCGCCAACAATTTTTATACATATATATATATATATGCCGAGAACGCCCCCTAGATCGTTTTGTCCAGCAGCCGTTTCGCCAGAGACTTCCTCACAGGTTGATTCAGGCATCGTGCTCTCGCCTCACTGCCAGCAACATTCTGGCCCGGACTGCCACGATCCCTTGACAAAACACGGATGCACATGCCGTGCTCTCCCTAGAGACCTCCTAGATGGTGTCGGAGTAGATGGGGTCGAAGGATCGCGCGGCATTGCCGATGCAACTCCGATGCGTCGTCGATGCATCGGCGATGTATTCGCGCTGTTGCGGCAACGTTGGCGATGAAGTGGCGCCGTCGGTGTGGAGAAAATTGGGCCCCAGATCGAGCCGCGTCGCTTCATGCATTCATGCATCGCCGATGCATCGGCGATACGGCAAGATCCTCCGACCCCATCGGCTCCGCCTGCATCTGGGGGGCCTAGACTCACCCCCTGTCGCGGCTGCCTCGTTCCTACGAGTCCCAGAGAACTTCTTGGGGGGATAATAAACGATTTTCCCGACGGGGGATGATGGTGATGATGATGATGACGATGACGATGACGATGATGATGGTGATGATGATGATGATGATGATGATGATGATGATGATGATCATTAGCGCTCGTGCATCCAGATCCTCGCACAAACAATTGTCCTTGGTGTCCTCGAGTCTCGCGCTTGAAGGTGAGAATCCCATAGCTCTGCCACACGCTCGTGACTTGCGAAAGCTGAAATGGTGAGACCTCCATTGCCATGCTCAGCGTTTTTGATGATGTCAACATAAGATGTTAGCAATTTCGATTCGCGAATTCCGCCCGCGATGATCAAGTTCGGCCTCGCCGCCCCTCTCCAGAATAACATCTGACCCGGGGATAATAACCACTCAGGGGTAAGGGGAGGGTATACTTTATTATCCTGGGTTAGGGGTTAGTCATGTTCAATCCAGGCGGGAGGAGAAGTAGGAAGAGGAGAAGTAGGAGGAGAAGGAAGAGGAGGAGGAGGAGGAGGAGAAGGAGGAGGAGGAGCGGCTGCATCGTTCCTGCGAGTCCTGGGGGATTTCTCAGGACTATGCGCTTTCACTTCGTCATCTTCGATCCGGGCGTTGCTCCCTCGATGCTTCGGCCTTTCAGGACGGGGGCCCGGCGCCGGGCCCCGGGACAACAGAACAGTCGAGGCGTTGACCTAAGGAACCAAAAATAAGGAACGAGGCCCCTTTTTTCCATAAGTTGAACTTCGATTTCGTATCGAAAACCTAAGGGAAATCCAAGGCAAGCTGCGAAACAATTAAGGAACGCGGAGCCCCTCCCCAACGAAAAGGGTTCCTTCTTCAGGGCCCCGACTGAACATTAACTGGGAGCGCGAAGAACTGCTCCAGGGGAAGGGGGTCCCCAGACATGATCGCGTCGTGCAACAATCAGGTCGGCGGGTTTTCGGCCGTGTTCGGCCTCGGGGGGCCCTCGCTGGGCTTCGGGACCGACAAAAAAAGACTCAGGATGGAGACCGGTCTGGGGGAAGGGTCGGGATTTCCGGGGACGCCGTCCTGAAAAAAATCAGGACGTCGCATGTCTGGGGTCGGGACCTCATGGGGCGGAACACTGGCTTGCGCACTCCTGGCCGAGGCCAGGAGGATCTGCACACAATCTCCGGGCCCTCGTGGTGCCAGTGTGCGCAAGTCTTCTGCGGATGGCCCTGGCTGGGCAGTGCTTTGTCACAGGTGTGTGCTTTTGATGGCACCTTTTGGAGGTTTCACTGTGGCACAGGTAGGTGTAGGGTTTTTTGTCACAAGCACTTGTTTGTCACCAGCATGCTTTGCGACTGGCTCCAGATCCATGAATCATGCTCAGATCGCAACAACATCTCGCCGGAGCTCTGGGAAGGGCCACCCTGGCGGGGGATGGCCCTGGCCAGGCACACACAGCCATCTGGCGCTTCGATGTGTAGACGCGCGGGCCCTCAAAACACGACTTCGACACGGGCTTCGGGGCCCCGGGCTCTGCACTGGAGGCGGCAGAGGAGGAGGAGGCGGAGGATTGAGGTTAGGAGGAGGATCGATTGCAGGAGGAGGAACGAGGGGGAGGAGGATCGAGGGCAGCTTTGAGGAGGAGGGAGGGAGGCAGGGATGGGGTAGGAGTATGAGTCACCTTCGCCTTCTCGAGCGAGCCAGAGGCCACGCCTATTCCCATCGTTCGCCCGCACAGCACAAAAATCGCTTGTGGCGCAGCTTGATCGTGGCATTGGACCTCGCTCCCACCTCGCAAAGTGGAAAAGGCACTCGCGACCCGTCCCGTACGCGGGCCGGGGAGGGGCGGGGCAGCGCTGCCGCTTTCACTCGCAAGCTGCCGCTTTCCTCCTCCTCCTCCTCCTCCTCCTCCTCCTCCTCCTCCTCCTCCTCCTCCATCTCCTCCTCCTCCCCTCCTCTCCTCCTCCTCCTCCTCCTTCTCCTCCTCCTTCCTCCTCTCCACCTCCCCCTCCTCCTCCTCCTCCTCCCCCTCCTCCTCCCCCTCCTCCTCCTCCTCCTCCTCCTCCTCCCCCTCGGCAAGCTGGGCGAGGTCGGCATTTCGCCCGCTCTCGCGCGGCCCCGCCGCCGCGGTCGTTTTTTGCATGCGGTGTTCGGCACACGAACCAGGCGCCGCGCCCCCGCGCGAGAGAACGGCACTTCCAAAGCGGCATGCGCACGGAGCCCGGGCGGGGGCGACAGGGTGCCCACTGGCGCGGCCCCCTGAAAATCGGCCAGTGAAGCATACAGTCGGGGCGTTGACCTAAGGAACCCCAAATAAGGAACGAGGCCCCTTTTTTCCATGAGTTCAGCTTCGATTCCCTAGCGGGAACATCGGAAAACCTGAGGCAAGCTGTGAAACACTTCAGGAACGCGGAGCCCCTCCCCAACGAAAAGGGTCCCTTCTTCAGGGCCCCGACTGTAGGCCCCGTGTCGAGACGGGAACTCCACTTTCAGGCGAATTCTGCGCGGCGCCGACGTGAGAACGACGTGTTTGCCCTCTCGCGCATCGAAGGAGTTGTGAGTGTGTGTGCATGTGTGAGAGAGAATGTTCGCCGGGCCCAAGCGGCAACTCAATTCTCAAGACGACATTTCGGTCTTTCGCGCGGGATGTGTGCCCCGTCCCAGTCCCGCCACGGATGCTGCAACATGGACGACATGGTGTCGATGTTATGACGAGCATTGTCGACTTTGCAAGTTGCGTTCGCACCTAGAACGGAGGGTCTGTGGTGGAGAGCAGGAGTACATCCACCATCGCGCATCCCCCCCATGTGGCACGCACTGGAGTGTCCCCAGGTTTCTTGCTCAACCCGTGAGCCTGCCCTCAATCCTGAATACTCTTTCGACAGGGCCCAGATCCAGAACTCACGACTCGTCCTGAGTCTGGCGCGTGGCTCCCGGGGATCAGCGCCGCGGCCGTCTCGGAGCGTGCGGGAAGGCTCCGAGAGCGTTCCGGAACGCTCTGAACTGATTGATCCTCGTCCTGGCGTCCCAGCCTTAGGTCGGGCATGTCGCCTACAGGCAGATTTGGGGCGACAAATAAGAAATACTAGAAAAAATGCCCCCCAAATGGTCTAAGATACTAGAATAATCGTCCCCACTACTTTTGAAAACTCCTCCTGTAGAGGGACATGCTCGACTTCATCCCAGCCCCGTCCGGAAGGGGTCCAGAAGCTGGGCGAGCGCGCCCAGCTCGCACAGGAAGGAAACGCCAGCATCTCCTGGCCCTCCGAGGGGCGCCCCGGGCCCAGACACTGGCCCTGAGGAACAATGCCCCCAAAATGGTCTAAGATGCTAGAGTAATCGTCCCCAGACTATTTAGTTCAACTACTTTGGAAAATTCCTCCTGTAGAGGGACATGCCCGACTCAATCCTGGCCCCGTCCGAAAGGGGTCCAGAAGCGGGGCGAGCGCGCCCGGCTCGCACAGGAATGACACGCCAGCATCTCCTGGCCCTCCGAGGGGCGCCCCGGGCCCGTAGGCACTGGCCCCAAGGAACAATGCCCCCCAAATTGTCTAAGATGCGAGAGTCATCGTCCCCAGACTATTTAGTTCAACTACTTTTGGAAATTCCTCCTGTAGAGGGACCTGCCCGACTCAATCCTGGCCCCGTCCGGAAGGGGTCCAGAAGCGGGGCGAGCGCGCCCGGCTCGCACAGGAATGACACGCCAGCATCTCCTGGCCCTCCGAGGGACGCGCCCCAGGCCCGGAAGCACCGGCCCTAAGGGATCTTCGGCTGAGGTTTAGGTGTCCGTTCCATGGGAGCCTACGTGGCCGCTGGCACTGTCCGACATGTTACCAGCCTCGAACGTATCCCTATCCCTAAGATTGACACGCCAGAAGGCGATGACAATCTCAGGGATTCGCCCTCAAAAACTGAGGGAATCCCAAGGATTGGCATCGTGATGAGGAGGTGCCCAGCATGGGGATAGGGATGTGTTCCAGGCTGGTAAACATGGGCCTGGCACCAACCATCGATTCTCGTGAATCGATGGGAGCCGGCGGTAGGGTTCGGATCTGGCAGCGTGTTCGACGAGCTCCGAACCCTACCCCCGCCGCCCATCGCGTCGCCCGACTCGGATTTCGCCGCCGACTGACTTGGGCCCAGAGGCGCCCCTGTCCAAGGGAGACGAGCAGAACGCGATGGGGAGAAGGAGCATGAGGAGCGAGAAGCGGGAGGCGGATGTCGCCGCCCAGTGCTCCCAGGAACGGACATCGCACTGGCGGGGCCTCGGCCACGGCGGCCGCGGCCGCCAGGTCGCAGACCTGGGGGAACAGGAAGGAACCGATGCCGCTACTCCCCAGACCTCTCCCAGGGCGCGTTCTGACCAGCATTTCGAAGCGAACCCACGCCGCGGCAACGAGCGCCTCCCAGGAGGCCCTGGAGGGCGACAAGGATGCAAGGGCGGCGGCAATTGGCACCCCTCTACCAGCCAATGGACGCCGTACCGTGTTAATAACGGCGGAGATGCCGACCCCAGTCCCCGATGTTGTTGGGTTTTCGAACGGACCAAACATTTGGGGCCGCACTCGGGAACAAACGAAAGGGGCGCATTACTCCTCTGATGGTCGTTCAAGACTGACCGGCTTCTGCCGACCCTCGACTCGAGATGGACCGGCCACACCTTGCTCCACATGTCCCTGGAAATCTCTGGGATGTGCCTGGATGTTCCTCGATTTGCATGCAGTGACCTTCACTTATGCGGCGTGACCCCCACAGCTCTGCATGATGGTCCTGTCTTCCACTACCACTACCATAAGATAGAGGGTAAGGGAAGGGGGTTGACGAGGAGTAGGAGTAGGAGTAGGAGTAGGAGGAGGAGGAGGAGGAGGAGGAGGAGGAGGAGGAGGAGGAGAAGGTGGAGCAGGAGAAGGAGGGAAAGGGAGGAGAGGAGAAGAAACAAGGAGGAGAAGGAGGAGGAGGAGGAGGAGGAGGAGGAGGACCCCCTCCCCCCCTCCTACTTAGTGGTAAGGGAAAACAGGAGGCGAAAGTGGACAAGCCCTTGAGATGGACCAGTCGCAGCACCAGCCGCTCGACCGCGGCCGCCGCCGACGCCGTGTGGCAGCCAAGGCGCCCAGGCGCCGCGGCCGCCCGCGCGGCCGCCGCGAGAGGCGGGGCGGCGGGCATCGTTCGGAGGCCCTGGCGCGGAAGGGCGCTCCTCCCTCCCTCCCTCGCCCCCGTCCCCC